CTAGGATGGTTAAGTCGTTGTCACCGTTGTCAGCAGATGGGATAACTCATGAAATGTCAGCCGAAAAGCGTTTACGTCTCGAAAAGATTAACTAAGTAGGGTTGTAGAACTAGTTAGCCTACAACATAATTCTATAATAATTCAATTACCTCAGGATGCCGGCGTTTCATTGGACTTCCTTCCGGCTGCGTGCAAGAACTACATTGCAAAAAATGACTACTTGTGTGGCATGCATGTCTTTCATTGAATTTCGCTGCCCTTAAAAATTCAATTATATTTTATGGAAAACACGCCCATTCGGTAGAAAATGACGTCCTATTCCAATCTAACACTCGAAGGAAGGGAACTATTTGCTTTAAAAACTTCCAATTCTCGAATAATTTTGAACCTGGCCTGTCGTTACATTTGCGTTTAGGATTTCTAACCTACAAGCCGTATATTTTCCGCGTACGGAAAACCACACAGTTCTCTACAGTAATAAAAGAGTAGCATACAGGACTCATGAAATTTAGCAATGGATTTGCTCCATTTTGTTAACTTTACAAGCCGCATTGATAAATGCAGAGACATGATGATTTATGGACGACCATTTAAAAGTTCTGAATTTAGAAACTTCTTAAAACCGAATCATGTCCCTACTTCGAGTTTAAGATTAAAAGACGTAATTGTCTACCAAATGAGCAAAGAATGAATATTTTTATTCGTGTTTTCCATGAAATATAATTGGACATCTAGGGGCATCGAAAATCAATGAGACAAATTCATGCTGCATAAGTAGTCATTTTTTACAGTCTAGTTCTTGCATGCAGCCGGAAGGAAGGCCATTGAAACGCCGGCATCCTGAGGTAAGTGAATTATTATAGAATTATGTTGTAGGCTGACTAGTTTTACAACCATACCCAATTAATCTTTTCGAAACGAAAACGCATTTCAGAATTTCGGTTGGCATTTCATGAGTTAGCTCGCCTACTGTAGTATTTTAGCCCTCACGGCATTCTAATAAATCTGAATGAGCTCGCCAAAATCGCCAAAATAGAACTAGTTTGAAGACTAAAACAGCATTATTTTATGTACATACTGAATCACCATAACGAAAGAATTTTTGAGGCGACCTTGGACAATAGCGATTATCAAGTCGTCTCTACCGCAAAGATATGTTAACTAAAAGGTCGACCGTCGATATCGACTATGACCACCGTCTGTTCCACAGCAGAGTGCGCACAGGGAAGATGACTTGCGCGTGAGTTGATTCATGGTGATAGCAACATTGTCCTGCATCGACCGCACACTCTTTCCCTTCTCACATGCGTCCGCTGTCATGAAAGAGTCAAGAAGACCAGATGTGAGATCTGGAGCAGACGACTGATGCGGCCTGAAGTCGCGACTAGCGTACCACCAGATGCCCTAATTGGCACACAAAGGACTAAAATTTCATATAACATGAAAGCGGGGGACGGGTTTGGTCCAAAATGGAGGGGAGTACCATAGAGGCCACATTAAGAAGGAGACATTCAGTCTGATTGTCCGTCCTGAGTGGAGGACCGAGTTATGCCTTAAGCTGGCAGTCTTCCAAGTCACGTCTTTTAGCACACCATGATAGACTAAAACGCGTTTTTATTGAGGTAATTGCACTGAGATTCGACGTCACCCCCTCTTCCTTTCCCATTGAGTCAGTCACCTATCCGAATCGTCGCTGAGAGAAAGAGCCCATCTGCGGATGCCATAACTATGAGCGGCCTCCCCACTTATGAATTTCACACAAAAGAGATAGGTGGTTCGGATCTCATATATGTTGGACCGGCTGGAGAAGGAGTTAAATAGCACAATTTCCGCTAGCCTTAGAGGTGCCTACTTCGTGTCAGTGCTGTGTGGTATCGAACACCGCCGTTTGTGTGGTGTATGTTTTGGTCGAGAAATGTGGTTATGATGCGATTTAGTCTGTAGTGGCTTTTCGCAGGTTTGCATGGACGCGCATGTGTAAAATACTTAAACTCAGGCATACTTACTGGCTATGGTAGTGACTTCGTTAAATAAGATATCAAAGTGTCTGCCAAGATACTTGGCGGTGTGTGCACAAAATATCACAAAACGTGCCCTCACCGCACTCAAGGCCATATTTATTAAAAATTTTGGCAGTGTTGAAAGCAGTTTTGCTAAAAAAATCCCCTCAAAGGTGGTGTGCATTTGCCAACTGACTTTATTAAGGCCTGTGTGAATTCTTTCGCGTTTTATAAAAAACCTTTCCTTTGCGGAGAAATGAGTACCGACAATGAGAGCGGAGAATGTGCTGACAATTTCTTGTGTGTTAGACGTTGTTAGCCGGCCACAACCAACGCCAGGTTTGGACAGTTCGGGAGCTCTTTGGTCGTTAGACGTTGGGTGGTCCAACAATCTATCATTGAGACACGGGTCCGTTGTTCTCTCGGTTGTGATCGAGAATGTTAACTGTAGTAGAAGGATGTTTACAAATCAGGCTAGAGGACCTGTTCGTTCTGTTACACATAGCGACGCAATCTACAGCCCTCGCAGGCAAACGACCACGTCTCCTTAACCCGGCCAACGAACGTCTTGCCATCCTTTCTTTAGTATTATCGAGCGCAACCGACAAGGAAGCGGACTAGTAACTCAGTTGCACAGCGTTCGTCTTAACGCTCACCGACGAAGGTGTCCTGGTCCGAATACCAGGCTACACAAATCAGGAGGTGGATACAGCTGACTGACGATGGCTAATAAGCCAGAAACGGTTATCTCCGTCCCTTTTACCTTTGTCGGTACCCCCTTCCCTGTATGTTTTTTAATTGCTATGCAAGTGCCCGCGAAGGCTTTAGACTGAGCCCTAAGGCACAATTGAACCCGGTCGGCAAACGTCCATCTGAATTTTTCATTTCTCATCTTTATTCTGTATTCATTTTCAGAATTTTCAGTCGAGGAAAGTAGATTGAGGTTCGAAATAACTGTAGTTTTGAGAATTTTTGAGACGTTAATGGTTAGCCGCGCGGATCCTATGCTCAGGTGCGCAGCCCGATTCAAATCCTTCGTAATATCCTACAAACATCAGACAGCGTCCCTGCAGGGTCTGGCTGCGTTAGGCAAAACTGCTTTCGAGAATATGTGTAGGCTGAAGTTCGGTAACCTCCAGCCCTTCCTCCAGGTGCAAAATTTGAATACATACGCCCCTACTGAATGTGAATAAGGAATGACTTTTTTGAAATATCCTTCCCATAAAATATACTTCAGTATACAGTGTGCGTCACAGCTCATGAACATAAAACAGCACTCTTCCGGTCTAGTAACGGTGTCTACCAAGAAAATTGTGCGAAGTCCTAAAACACGCTCGTGGCACAAATCAAATCAGGACTATGTAGCCGAGTAATCAGTGTTGTACGTTGGAAAAATGCAGTCGATTTGTGTGGACAATCGACGAAACTCTTGATTTCTAGAGCAAGAGCGTCTACGTTCACATGTTTAAAAAGATTGCGCAAATCGCGAGTAATTGTGTACTCATTTTGAGGACGTATACAAGGCCAGACAGCTGCGATGACCGTTTAGGTGAGGAAATACCCGTCTTTATTGCCACTCAAGTTCCTATACAGTGGCTCCGAGGGCGTTTTGTCGGTTGAAAACCAAAAACCCTAGCATCCCGAAGATAGCTTACAAAAGGTAACTGGACAATCGTCAACGGCAATCAACCTTGCCATTATCCACCGATTCAATTAGCAGTATCCGGCACAGGACCCCATGGGGGACCAACCGCGCACAAGCTACCGAGTAATGTACTTTAAAAACCCAGGAAAATTCTCGGCGGCGCGCTGCTGGCGGCTATAAAGACTCCGTTAGGTGTCTCACTTTAGATCACCAACCGCCTTACGAACGCTGCGAGCTGCACAAGTGCAGGCTGTGTGACAGTTCGACCGTCGTGCCCGACAACGTCCACCGAATGCTCTATACCAAGGTTAAGCAGACACTGTGACTTGCGCAGCATCTACCGCACTCTCCTGCCCGCCTGTAGCCGGTTCCAAGACCCAAGGCGTGGGAGAGCGCATGTTGCCGAAGCTGCCCCTAGACGTGCCGCCACACCTGGCTCGGACCCCTCGAAGTGGGAGTGCCGGCAAAGGCCACATTGAGGAGCCATTGCAGTCTGACTCTTGGACCACTATACAGCCGCTTCTCACACAAACATACAACACTGGGCCGACTGCAAGGTCCACGTTATACAGTCAGTTGACAACCTCCCAAGCATCGGGTTTTAGCGCACCGTGATAGCTTCAGGCGCGTAAGATTGTAGTGAGGAAGATGCGCTGACTCGTCGGCCTCTCCCCATTCCCCGACCCCAGCCACTGTCCGAGCCGGTCAGTTGACAGGTGCGGGGAGTGGGCGAGGTGGCTGACATATCCAGTGAGCTTGTCTGCACTCGCCTTATGCACGACCAGGCCCCTTAAACACAAGCACCAGGATTTCACACAGCGGAGGTTGTGCGGCATACATCTCACATGCGTGAGAGTGCCACAGACCAGTAAAGACGCAGCCGTGACACCCTGGCTCCCAGGCCACCAGTCCGCCACTCCACACACACAGCTGGGTATACTGAGTTGGAGCGTCGGTCAGCAACTCCCCAATCCACGGCGCGTGGCGCACCAAGATAGTCTCAGACTCAGGCTGTACGTAATATCGCCTCCAATCACCCACAATGCTCACTCGTCTTTACTTTCCAAAACCGTCCCGGCACATGCGTCAGTAGACTCGCACTAAAAACCCTTCCCGGAGCTTAGAGACCCGTGAAAGTGCACAAATGCAGAGCACAACAGCAGGCGACAAAGTGTACATCATATTAAAGAAGGAAGTGGTATAAAAGCATGCTGCAGTCATGACAGTGTGCAGCGAGCCCCATATTGAGACATAAAAGCATGCGTGGAGGGAAGAGTGGACAATTGAAAGAAGACACTGAAAGGGCTTGGATGTGAAGTGGAAAAATCACAAGTCGAATTGTATATTTACAGATCTTAAGGTCGAAAATTTTCAACAACTTCGATTATGTCGAGATGGGAGGAATACACGCACTGAGAGCAGCAGGTAGACCTGAAAAAGAACAGCAAGACATACTGAAGGCGACAAGACGTAATTCTTGGCAGTTAAGAGCTCTAAATCAATCGCCAACTGTAACGGTAACGCAAAAACTGCAACTGGCTATCACATGGGGGAAAGGGAACATAGATTGCCTGTCGAACACAACGGCTACCCTTCATCCCAGAGTAGTGACTTGTGCTTGGATCTATATTAATGAAGAAGGCCATCAACCCACTCCTTGGGAACCACTGACAAGACTGCGTAAAAGCGATTGACGGTGACAGGACTGAGATAAAGCCACATCTGAGTGCGACCTGATTGCGCTCTCTCCTACAGCTGTTGTTAGATACGTGGTTATATTGCCTGGCTTCGTCCGTCAGTCGATGCAACCAATTCGCCCAGGAGAGTTTCGTGTATTGTGCGCCCAGTCCAGCACCCAAATGGACTGAGTCTTGTTGGACCTAAAGGCGCGCCAAAAAGGTGTATTGTCTATGGTAGACGGTAGTCACTTCAGCTACTGTGTCCAATCTCGTTTTCAGCCCAGTGGACTCTAGCCTGTTACCGGTACAGGATAGGGATGGGAAGAGACCGAGGCCAACGCTAACAGTCGTGTCTTGACGGGATAACTGTCCTCCGCCCTCTGGACTGAGGGATCAGATGGCTAAATCTAAAACTTCAATGTGCCCTGTATGACACTGTCAATCGTATAAAGTCAAAAACACCTCCCCCTCCCGACACCTTGAAGTCTAGTTCATGTATCAGCACATACGTGTGACGCAGTTCCCATACCAACTCCAAGTCATCTTGAAAAATTGCGCGCAAGTTTCCGTCATTAGGAAACACTGAATGCGTAAGTAACTACCGCACCATAATAACGGCGTCGGTTCCCGTAGCTTTTCACTGTAAGATGAGATCAGAGCACAATGGGCGTCTCGTGCAGGTAGACGTTTTGAGCGACTACCAATTCCTTAGTGACTACGCCTTGTGCGCCTCATGCAGACCAGCCAGAGAAGAAACCAAACTACTAACAGAACAGACAGAGAAGCGCCAGGGAGCGTTTCAACAGTACGTTTTGCAGATACGTAGCAAGGGGTGTGCAAAGACTGTGCACAAAACCTTACAAAGTATGCGCAGTCGAAAATTCTGCCAGACTGAACAGAAAAACAGGGCCTTACTTGTTAGCATCCAGTCGGGGTGAAACGAACTGTGGCAGGGAAACACACCCGAGTTTCTGGGCAAACTAGTTTGGTAATAATAATGTTGTCAATTTCGCAATGAGGACCCAATGACAGAACTTCCTACATCCACAGCACTCACCTAGTTAGCTCTCTGTCTCTCACTGCAAACGAACTTGTTTGGTTTCTGTCTCCCAAACATGGGAGGGCACCGGGCGGGTCGTGCGGGACAACGGAACACGGGCTCCATTGGTGAAGGACTGCGGCGTCGTCGTCGTCAGATTCCGACCCAGTAGAGCAGACTGTCCGCCGAAATGGCCAGCGGTATTGGGTCCAGCATCTGCATCCAGATAGGCCACTACCGGCACGACGGCAGCACAGGCGTCGGCGGCAGCGCCCGCTGGCCCGCCAATATTGAATGCACCAGGGTAGTCGGAACCGCAGGCTACTGAGACCTTGACCTTGTTCCCACGCAGACGCATGGCGGCCTCCTTGGCAGCACGCTCCTCCGGCGTCAATGAGGCGTCGCCAAACATTATGCTTACACGACCGCGCGCCTTCAATTCGAGATACTAATGAAACGAAGAGCAAAAGGAGGTATGAAAAGCCGTTTCGTCAGTATTTTTGACGTGTACTATGAATACTAAGGCTGCAGGGCATTTTCTTAGGTACTTTTATGATGCTTAAAATCTTTCCCTTGCCAGTCTCGCAATGTTACTGGCTAAAAATACCGGTAAACGGTGCTCGCTGCAAATCAAAATGTAACCATCCACAGATTCACCGCAAGTCCATTGTGGCCAGATCTTATGCTTTTCCCCATGGTGGAGGTTCTATTCGTACGACTGATTCAGTGCAAGGAGTTGAATGACCATGTCCCTGTCTGGATCTATGTGGATACCACGCACTCCCATCGGCGGGAATACAGTGTCGCAACACTTAGAATTGTCTATTCCCCCACCAGCCTGTCTTACGGGCGGACTACTACTACTTCTACTACTACTACCACCACCACTACTACTGCTACTACTACCACTAGAACCGCTGTTACTACTAATACTACTACCACTAGCGGGAATACAGTGTCGCAACACTGAAGAAAACTTTTTCCCCCGTCTACCACCACTGATACGGCGAATACTACTAATAATCCTACTATTAGTACTACTACTACCACCGCCACCACGGCTGCCAATGCTACTCTACCAACGCTTACAGTATGGGTAACCAACTGCAATAATACTAGCATCAGTAACGGAGTGTTGCGACACTGGTATCCAACCCTCCCATCTTTAGTTTTATAGGTCATTGGGAGTATTGAATGTGGAGGAATAGAAATTTCGTAGTAAGCGGCAGCAGACTAGCTCCAAATATTGACCTCAAAATCAAAAATTCTTATTGTTTACGACGAAGGATTGGAAACAAGGAATCCAACATCATGATCGGCTACGAGCCTGGCACAGTGCTTCATGATTAAGGCCCCTGGAATTAAACTCGCCGTTTGTGGCGGTTCAAAGACGTGAGTTAGATAGGGCGGATGACGAAGCCAAAGGCAGTTTGGCCGGCCAGAGGTAGATACAACAGGGGACCTGCTACTTGTAATAATTTGTCGCTTCGTCGCACAGTCAGTTTGTGTTCGTGTATGCGCGATCCGCGCATGCGTCCAGTCTGGCCTATGTAGTTACAAGGACGGTTTTGGCACGGGATGAGCTTACACTATCCCAGATTGCTCCTCAGGCTTTAACCAGTCCTTGATTTCATGACCTTGCTGTGCATGATGGCTTTGGGCCGGTGTACAACTCCTTCACCTAGTTCCGCGGCGAGCCACTCGATTGCTTCCAAAGAGTCCTTAATGCATGGCGGGGAATGCCATATTGCTGGTGATGTTGCTGCTATCTCTGGCGATGGACTCCTGCACGAGTTCGGGAGCTCAGAACAATAAACAGAATGTTTCGGTGCTCGACCAACTTTCCTCTTCTTCTTCTTCTTCTTTTTCTTCTTCTTCTTCTTCTTCTTCTTCTTCTTCTTCCTCTTTGCTTATGCTTCGACGTGTCAATTAGAGCTGATTGTAATCGTGCGGAATGACTGGAGACTCCAACGAAAACTATTGTTACTACATCTGTCAATATGTTGTATTAATCGCCGCAGCACCAATAGCAGCAATGTCGTATTCATCATCATCATCATCATCATCATCATCATCATCAGCAGCAGCAGCAGCAGCAGCAGCAGATGCAGCGGTGACAACAACGACGAAAACATCGGTAGCATACTCTACAACATGATTGGCATCAATGTAATCGATTTTCCCTCCATCGGCTTCGTACTTGGCCTGGATTCCCTCCCGTTCAAAACGCCGACAACTGTAAAACCACACTTCATGTTCTCTCAGGTTTGATCGGACGACTGGACAGGGATCGACACTCCCTGCTTTTATTTACATATCACATTTGATTACCGTCGGGGCAGTTTTTCCATTGAACAGTTTGCTTCTCAACAGGCAATAGTCGCGCGCAGTTGAAAAAGACGTTACGGCATCTTATGACTGGCTGTCTACGCGTAAAGTATGAAAAAAACGAATTCCAAAGTCCTCTTATTTACGTTTTGTCGCCTTTTTAACCCCTACGCGTGAATGAGTGACTGTTTAAAGATGTACCAATCCAGTAAAGAGAGTTTCGACATTGCTGCGGTCGTCCTTTGAGAGCATTTTTGACTGTCTTCGCGCCTCCTACATCCTGTCCTAGTATAGCCGCACATTTCCCAGTCCTGTAAGTCACAAATATCACCATCGCTGACAGATTTGAGGAGCGTATAATCCCCCGCCCGCCCGCCCGCTCGCCCGCCCGCCATCATTAGCCCTCCGCCAGGGGAGATCGCCGCGGCGACTTAACGAAAGATCACAGACCCGCTAATTCTCACGCGATGAGTGCAACATGCATGAGAGGCAGGTTCATTAAGGAGACCTGAAGGTGGGAATGCCCTGCAACCTGCGTCTGTCTGGCCGTTAGTCAGCGACTTGTAGCCTCTCCGTGTGGAGAGGAGCAAATCAAAAAGGATAAGAGTGCTCTTAGATTTCAAGTTTGAGGCGGATGCAGCTAATCCCGGAAAACTCATATTTGTTAGTTCACACTGCTGTCACATCCGTCCTCAGGAGAGAGAGAGAGAGAGAGCGTTAATCCGGTCAAGTATATTATTTCAACAGTGCTTGCTGATTAGCGGCTTAAAAAGCGATTCGTTTTAATCAGGATTGAGCAGCGTAGATGTCCATCTCAATCAAACTGAAAGTCTATTGGCGGGAATAGAGTGTCGCAACACTTAGAATTGTCTATTCCCCCACCAGCCTGTCTTACGGGCGGACTACTACTACTACTACTACTACTACTACTACTACTTCTACTACTCCTACCACTAATACTACTACTAGTACCACCACCACTACTACTGCTACTACTACCACTACTACCGCTGTTACTACTAATACTACTACCACTGGCGGGAATACATTGTCGCAACACTGAAGAAAACGTTTTTCCCCGTCTACCACCACTGATACGGCGAATACTACTAATAATCCTACTATTAGTACTACTACTACCACCGCCACCACGGCTGCCAATGCTACTCTACCAACGCTTACAGTATGGGTAACCAACTGCAATAATACTAGCATCAGTAACGGAGTGTTGCGACACTGGTATCCAACCCTCCCATCTTTAGTTTTATAGGTCATTGGGAGTATTGAATGTGGAGGAATAGAAATTTCGTAGTAAGCGGCAGCAGACTAGCTCCAAATATTGACCTCAAAATCAAAAATTCTTATTGTTTACGACGAAGGATTGGAAACAAGGAATCCAACATCATGATCGGCTACGAGCCTGGCACAGTGCTTCATGATTAAGGCCCCTGGAATTAAACTCGCCGTTTGTGGCGGTTCAAAGACGTGAGTTAGATAGGGCGGATGACGAAGCCAAAGGCAGTTTGGCCGGCCAGAGGTAGATACAACAGGGGACCTGATTAAGTCCAAAGAATGTGGGTAGCACTAAATGCGCCGAATTCAAGGTAACTCGACAAGCACGATCGCAGCAGGATGGGAAAACCGGTGGGTGTCATGTGAGCCCTGAAGTTCCAGTAGATGGTGAGGATTGAATGCCAAATCCCTTCACATTGTCAGGGCATTTTTGGTGCTGTTTCTGGATAAACAGGATATATGGACCCAAGGTTGGGTATTTCTTGGGATCTCCCGGTCGGGGTCGACGACTACCCCAGGACCGATATTGACAGGGAATAGCGTACTTTAATCCTAGGAACTCGGACGCGATTAGAAATTTAAAATTAACACTGACAATGGAGACCAATGGTCACTTGGGGTTTATCAGCCGTCGCGATCCAGTCATACAACCGCAGGTCGGGAACACCTGTGATTGCACCTGGATCTAGAAATCTGGCTTCCAAACACAGACTGCGTTGCAAAGAAAACGGACTATGAGGAAAGTGATGTATTCCGTTGAGGAAAAGACACTTACGTTGCCTTCTTCGTCACGATGCTTCTCGTGGAATTTAATATGAACGTTGAGGTTCGACTTCTTGTTAAACCGCCTCCGGCAGATGTGGCATTCAAATGGCAGTTCACCACGGTGAATGCGAATATGCTCGTTGTAGTAGACGGACTTGGTGAACCGTTTTCCACAATACTCGCATTCGAAGCGAGCATCTTTGTGGGTGAGCATGTGCATCCCAATTTGAGTTACGATCTGATGATAAGAAAATATAGTGAATGGGAAAAAGTGCACTGTTTATCGCTGATAAAAGAATTGATGGGCATTGATAATCATCAGATCTGTTGTAAACAGGGCTAATCTATACTTTGAAACAAAAACAAGACAGTTCACCCAAAAAGGGACTGGGGATATTAGGAACACAGGCCTGGATAATGCGACTTCGGTGCCATAAACAAACACAACCTCTACTAACCGACTGTGCGACCGTGGCGAACCACGTATGCATGTGGTGGCTTTTTCGATTCCTACGTTGTCACCAGCAGAATAGTTCAGTGCATCCGGCCGTGTGCGAAAGTCAATCAAATTTCAACGCACTTCTATTCCCGAAGACCAGGTACGGTACGTATGAGCGGGGTGACACTCCCGTTGCCCCTGACTACAGCCGTTACGAAACAGTATACTTGTGAACTTCATGAAAATAGCACGCATGCTATCGAGAAGTACGGAGAGACCTCTTGCTTTTACTTCCGCCTAAGGTGGAACATTAGAAGGTGGGAATGACGTTGAGTAGTGGCATCCCAACCAAACAGTCGCTTTGCAGGCTATTAAGCTGGCAAAGGCAGTCCTAATTTCATCCCGGCTACTTGAAGTTCATGATGCTTACTTATTCTGCCACTACCATGTGACGCAAGATTCTACATGGGCAACCATTGTGTTCGACATTCAACTTTACCTCATCCGGGATAAGAGCTCGTTGAATTTCGGAATTAAACAGAAATAAATCGCCAATAGGCAAGTTGCGCTTAAACTATGTGTATCTGAAAATATCGTACGAAATTGTAGCATACTGGTTTTTAATCCGGGTAATTCTGGGGTGTAAGAGTATGCAGTTAGTGGGGAAACTGCGTGGGCGTGGCAGGTCGTATCATGCGAGTGGTGACCGCACGGCCCTTAATCAAGAACGAACTCTTATCCGTAACTCCCCGAAGCGAGGATTTTTCAAACGACCACAGCCTCGACCGACGGACGAAACCAGATTACGGTGTCTGGTGTTGTTGTGTTGCTCGCCCTCCTATCCCTCCTTTCAAAAAGTCCTACGGAGACGGTGACATGCAACTCCGCAGGCAACCCAGGACAACGCGGGCCGCTCTCCCACTAAACCAAGCCGTGACCAATAGTGGAGTTCGGCTGCCGTCTGGAATGCCTTAGCAGCCCTTTTTAGGGACCGCTCGTTGGGAGCTGAAATGAGCCTGAATGTAGCGATTCTGTATTCTACAGGTGGCCAACAACATTTGCACTCTACTCGGTCAACAAATACGCTGGTGGACATAAAAAAACGCATTAAATCCAAAGCTATTTGTGAAAACTTAAAATGATTCCCAACAGACGCTTGTTACACTGCTTGGAAATCACCTGCAGGATGACAAGTCTTAGAGGCAGCCAACCACGAAAGGGCAGGTCCTGGCTCAATGGACATTGCGCACAAATACGAGTATATAGACAGGGGACATTACCTTGCCGCAAATTTGACACTCAAACTTCTCCGGACCCAACTGCATGTGCTCGACACGCACGTGCCGCCTCATCGCAGTCTTGCTCTTGAATGTTGCCGAACACTCCTTGCACTGGAAGATTTTTGTACGGAAGTGTTTCTGTCGATGCTGAGAGTAGCAGCGAAGATTGGCACACATTTTTTGGCAAATTTCACATTGAATGGCCCCGCTGTGGGTTTCCTTCATGTGCCTACGTAGATACGTCTCCACGCGAAAGCGTTGTTGACAAACTGGGCATTCATGCTCCATTTCCTGAAACGAACAACAGGAAAATTGGCTTCTCAGGACAAAGAGAATAAAAGGTCACTATGTCTAACCGAAACTTGACGCCAGTGCTTAAAAGTTGCCTAATTTAGTCGAATGTGTGCAGTCTATTTGGCACATGGTGAAATATGTATACGCTTGCAGCCGACCGCGTATGAAAGATCCAGATGGGGCAAGTAATCCAAAACCTAGGCAATATTGGCAATGTGTAAACACGCTAATAAACCAAGCCGGGAAAATTACAGCCAAAGTGGGAGAGATCACCTGGTTATGCATTCGTGCAATGTGGTAACGTAGTGAGGACTGCTTTGGATAGGTGATGCCGCAGTGTTCACAAGTGGCCGGTCCATCATCCCAATCGACGTGCCTCATTTGGACGTGATGCAGGAGGGCCTGACGCGAACGGAACTCCTTACCGCATTCGTTACAGGTGTGCAGAGAGCCCTCGGTGTGTTTATCCAGATGGCTTCGCCATACTCGCCTATCGTCGAAGCGCTGGTGACAATGGGGGCAGTGGTACATCATGGGTGAGAAGTTATTGTGAATTTCTGCGGCATGACACAGCATACCCTTGGAGAAGGCGAAGAAGGAGCATTGGTCGCAGCTGAAGACGGTCTGTGATCCAGCGTTGGCAAATTCGCCGCTCGGCACATGCTGCTCCTGTAGATGGACAGAGAGCTCATCCATTGTGGCATAGACCTCACCGCAAATTCGGCAGATACGATTGATATCGGTGGTTATGTCGTGCATAGACTGGAGGTGGGCGACATACTGTTTACCGGAGATGGGACTGAGGAAATTACAAAATTTACACTTGATTTTTGTCAGGATGGGCTCAGTTATCTCGTCGGTGGTGTTCACGGGCTTGACCCGGGGGATGCGCACCTGTATCGGAGTCACTACGCTGGGATCAGTCTCTGAGGGCTGGTAGACCACACCATGCTCGGCCCACTGGTGGAAGTAGTAGTTGTACTTTGTACAATAGAACGTCAGACAGGTCTCACAGGTCATCACTTGACTAAGAAGTTCGGTATCGTCCTGAGAATTAGTTCTGTTGGCAATCTGATCAATGTGCACCTTGTAGTGATAGGAGATCTCCTCGATGGTGCGGAGTTTCGACTTACAAATCACACAGCTGAGGTGGGCTTCCACAAAGTGTGGCTGAATGTCAGAGGTTGAGGATACACTCTGGCCGCATATACCGCAGACAACCCCCTCGGTCTGACTCTCGTTTCCTTGTGCGGCCTGGGCGAGGGGACTACGACCTCGAAAGCTGACACCATCACAGATCTCCATGTGGATCGCCATGACATCGGCGGTTGGGAAGTAGTCATGACAGACTTCACATTGCGGCGCCTCCATGCGACCCTCGAGAATGTTCTTCTGAAAGACACGGGCAAGGCTTGTTTGCAGTACTTGATCGCCTTCCCCGTTGACGACAGTTCGATTGGTAGGCTCTTCGTCATCCTCCTCCTGGTCACTGCCAGTCGCCTCCTGGCCAGACTTAGAAGCGACGGCTGCTGTTGGGTGCTCATTGATGTGCTGTAGCAACGCGCGCCGATCGACGAAACAGAGTCCATGCTCATCACAACGGAAACGAGTCAGACCAACGTGACGCAATTCGTGCTCTAACAGGCCGCACACCGAGTGGAGTTCTTTCGAGCAAATACAGCAAACACCCCAATGCTCTGGGAGGGGTACTGGGGCCGGAGGAGGGTCGTGGGGGTTCGCCGCTGCTGCTGCAGCTGCAGCCGCCTCGGCAGCTTCACGATGTTGCAGCGCTAACATCTTGGGAGTGTGTTTGAGAGCCATTCGGAAAACTATGTCGTACAGACTGAAAGCGACGGGACTGGTGTAAAAGTGGTCAGCGATCTCATCACAGAAATTTGCAATATATTCTGCGATCGCCTGTTGGTTGTAGTGTGGATGGATAACGACCGGAAAGACGGACGAAGTGCAGCTCTCCTCGTTGAACACCCGCATGAAGGCGGAGTACGACCTTAAATCACCCGTGATTGCTTGTGCTGAGACGGATTCCCTACCGGGGCGGGCAACGACATTCTGGAAGCGTGCTGGCACCAACTCAACCAAGCGCTGCACAACCCGATTTTCATCAACCTGAAGAGCGTACATGAGCCCGTTTATTACAACGAGACGGCATTCACTAGCCTCTGGACTGAACTTCTCCTCGCCTGCTCGCAAGGCCTCTGGTGAAATTGAGATGAACTCATCTTGTACACTGGTATTTGAGGAGCGTACAGAGCACTCAGTAGATTCCGTTGACCAAGCTAGCCGGATTGGGGCTTCAAAAACAATGGCAAGGGGAACTCTGCGTTGGCTATCAACAAGGATAAACTTCGTACACTGATAGAGATCATGTGCGTTCGATGGTGTTGCTGGCACTGCCAATTGTGTAAGAATTGAGTTTACAATTGCACTACCGCTGGAAGCAATAACTTCTCGTAAGCAGACTGACTTGAGATTGTCAAACAAATTATCCGGCAGGATTGCCACTGCCTTCCGTTCTATTAGTTTCTCCGGGTCGGCTGTGAACATACCTTCCATAAGAGCCGGTAGATCACTTGCAATGCCAAACCTGAGAAAGAAAAAGCGTTCTTCGTCAACGAGAGAATAGATTCTGAAGGCATTTGTGCCGGAAGGTTTCGGAGGCAACGGAGGATTACTCGTAGGTTCGTAACAAACCAGAAGAATGGTGTCCTTCCGACCGTTTGGTTTGAGCAAGAAACAATCCATCATATGAATACGCTGCAAATGAGCCGATGGCGCAGGTTTAAGCTCATGGCTCTCAGTTTGCCCTTCCCCTTGACTCCTTGAAATGGTCTCAATTACTTTCTCGATTACGTTGTATGCGTCAAGTTCGACCGACATATCAGCGCTTACTTTCGAAGCGCGATCGAATTCCGAAATAGGAATAGCAGACCGTTCAGAATTTGAGAAGGTTATGTTCCGGCGATTCCGTGAAAACGGAACACGATCAAGACTCCAGGTGTCCGTTAAAGCAATGCCGATGAGTTGACTGTCATGATTTACGGCGGCGATCAGTCGGTGTAAACACGGAGGATCCAGTGCATCGATGTTGACCGAGTCATTGCCGCCAGCTCTCTCGGCATAACCTATTATCTTTTCCATCGGTAGGGCAACCAGGTCGTTCAAATACTCGTAGAAGTCGTTCGACACAACAATCTGAGATACGTCTGTCATAAACCGACCGACGTTTCCTGCGCTGTTGATGGCATTGTATTGGGCGAGTGACACAACCAAATCTGTGAACGGCGGGCCAGTCTGTACTAAAACATTGAGGTTACCATCCAAAAGATAGGCCGGTTCAATTCGCAGATCAGGATCAAGAGTCGGTGCGAGAGAGGCTAGCTCATGACTAACCAGCGCCAGATTCGACATTGGAACCGGTTGTTGATGTATCATAGGAGCAAACCAAACAAGCCGGTTAGCGAGGTTGTCATAGGGCTTGGACATGAATGCGTGGAGTAACTCAACGACTCGATCGGGATCGTTCACCCGGCCCATTAGGCTCTGTAAGCTTGAAGAAGGACCAAAGAATAGGCCAGCATGTTGATTGCTCGGTTTGCAAATCTCAACAAACATTGAATCAAATGTACTATTCAGGTAGGGACATTTCAAGAAGTTTGTATAGGCATCCAGATCAGAGCGTGTCTTCAACGAGGTTGCCAAAGCGCTGTACACGTTTGAGCCCCAGCTAGTGGCAGCCGCATTACTGCTGCGAACCTGTCGGGTGTTGTGAGTCTTTTGAGTTGTGTTAGCGACAGCCCGCGCACTCTTACGACGCAAATTTCTAAACCGTTTATCTGAAAGAATACTCTGAGCGTCGAAATCGTAGATGTCTTTGCCTCCAGTGGCGGCTGCACCAGCTGCGGCCGTCTCGTCATCCTGGAAGAGGTTGGCAACACCACTATTATCTGCAGAGTTGCGTAATGCCGAAACCTCGGCGGAGAGGCCCGCATCGTTTTCAAGTTCAGAATCGCTGTCGCTCTCATCATCGTCATCATCGTCTTCATCCTCTTCCTCGTCCTCCTCGTCCGTTTCTTGTTGCATGGCCTTAAGTCGTTTTTGTCCTCTCGTGCCGGACGCTGCACCTTTCCTTGAGTGTGGGACACCGCCGCTGGCATGCACAGACCGTTCGTCCTCTGAGGGAGCGTACTCGCTGTCCTCAGCTACATCTTCATCTTGATCCGGCTCTGGAGGGCTATCGAGCATGGCGTCACTGACAAAGTAATCTGTGATGGATTCCCCAGCAGAGACTGCAGACTTCCCTGCCTTCGTAGCAGGGGTTGCTGCACCTCGGCCACGCTTACCGACGTTAGTTGTGCTACCACGTTTTCGGCCGCGGCTACGAGGCGTAGCGTCCGAATTCGATGATATAGTCTCTCCGGTGCTGGTTCGAGGTCGCTTAGGCGTTCTGCCTCCACGGCTACCGCCACCTCTGCCCCGAGTTCGGCGCCCAGACGGCGTTACTGGTGTTGGTGACTGCGACACGATTGTCGAAGGTCCTGTGAGTCCAGACTCGGGTTTAATTTGCGGTTTGTCCATTGTGTCTACGAAAATAATGAAAAGACAGTTCAGTCGAACGCATACAAGGAAGATTCAAGTACGAAAACTGCTGGACTTCAATCGCGTCAGTATCCTGTAGAGCACAGTCATGAGAGCAATCAGTTTACAAACGAGTCAACGCACACTTACGTTGAACTTAATCCAATTAAACTAAAAACACCCGGGCCGTGCTGGAAAAGCACGAACAAAAAGTCGACTGGTAACTGTTGCAAATACCGGTTGTGTGCTTATCACCAATACTAGAACGTGTTGACAGTCTTCGGAATCAAGAAACTTCTATCCTTAATTCAGTGGTCACGCTAAGAACCACATGCTTAGTGCTTGGAAGTTGTAGAACTGAACTAATGCAGGAAGATGAGGCGAGTCCCCAGTCGGGCATTTTGGGCAACGTAGTAGCAAAAAAGACAGGGGTCTGAAGATCCAATGCACCAGCAGGACATACTTTACTGCACACATACCGTGTATATGCTGTCTCCTTGACGAATTAGGAACTTCAAGTGTGGGTACGGGCTCATTGCGATGCAAAGCATAGGGCTGGCGTTTATACAAAACAGCTACACGATTAGGGTTCATTGCAGGTAAAATAAGAGTGCCCGGTCCAGCCAAAGTGGAGCACTTACGCATGAAGACATTGGTACAAAAATCCAGCAAGCACGCTTGAAATGGCAGTTAGTAATTCCAGTTAAACGGCTTTGTCTCGCAGTTTTCGCCGGTCATCCTAACGCCGGTAACAGCGCTGCCACTGCAGCCTTCGTTTCCGATAGCACTAGCGCTGCGCTGACATGCAATGACTAATTTCTAGGTAAATCAGGCATCAGGCAACATAAGACGACGGGGCAACCCCGTTTGTTAGATATACGAATTAAGTGACAGTTTAGTGAACATTATTTACTGGTCATGCAGTGACTACCGGAATTTTTGGCCCCTCAGACAGCGTTACGGTGTCTAACCAAAAAACGTTCGGGGCTCTCTCCAGAGAGATCGGTAATCGGTTTATTAGACCGGCCGGTCTAAAGCACATTTTCGGATTGGATAGAAGACCGAATTCAGTGAGAAATCTCACTAGCAATCGGCAATGCACAACTGCATGGCACTAGCAGAAAAAGATATCCCAGAAGTCCGGTGGTACGGGAAAGTACACTGCGTGGGTGCAGATCTCGCTACTGATAAAATTCAGTAGTGAAGTTTGGTGACCATATGGGAACGACCAAAAGAGATTTGGCATAATGAACGCCGAAAAAAAATTTTATAAAGCGAGCGAAACATCAAGATAGTGAAGGTACCCGGGGAACAACGCCGATCACAATATGGACGGCAACAGTCTAACCGAAACACAACTGGAGTCAGTGATTGATTTAAACAAATTGGGAAATTTATTTTCTCACTTGAATCCTTGTCCTTTGATATGGGCTTTTGCCTTTTAACTGCTTACAGTTCCCGGTGTTATTTTGTAATCGCAAGCTCTAGTCTGTAAGACGGTAAGTTTGTCCGGACGGGTACGGATTTACCAGACGCCATTTGATACATTGGTCAAATAATTTGAGATAAGATAAACTAGTGAAGCCTGCCTCATGGTTAATGAACTGTTGGGAATTATTTTATGTTTCAAAAGCCACTATCCAAGTGCTGAATTTAGTCAGCAGACCGGATTTAAGACCGGCTTCTTATAAGTTCACTGCCTTTCTTCGACCCCATGCGCCGGCTAAGCAGAAGTAGAAAAATAAGGCTATGCACAGAGCAGAGATAAGCAACACGACGCGCAAACGGCCAACACTCACATAAAGGCTACGGCGGGAAGGCGAAAAGGGGTTGAACGCGAAATCCATATTTGCATCTATGTGAACCAAGTGACGTGCAAAAGGCACATCAGTAGACACAAATCGAAGAAAGCGCTCATGTTACTTTAGTCTAAGCAAGAAATCCCAGACTCATTTAGCTATCATGAGCGAAACACTGCGTCAATTTTGGACCTGGATACTATGCACGAGGCCCTTGAAGGATTCGGGGCAGTGTACAGGTGGCAGCCACCGTGTGTGTGCGTGTGTGGGTGTGCCCACCAAACGGGCAACATGGTGGATGTGCTGGACCAACGCGGTGGCCATATCAGATTCTGGCAGGCGTTATCGGAATGCGTACCACAACAAATGTCAGCATTCTGAATCCCATAGTCGACCCAATTGCCGGCACAGGTCGCGGAAATAAGGACTCCTGTTACCCTCCCCATTGCTGTTGTTGGTTAAAAATTTGGTCATTTGTTGTGTTGACCAGGAAGTGTGGAGTTGAGCGCCAAGGTGCAGGCGCGACCGTGCCATCCACCTGGGCTGTTCCCAGCCTTTGGTCTTCTTCACTCTGTCTCGACACCAGGTTCAGAGGGGGGAGGAAAGTGCACGGCAAATGCTGTGCACATCTACTACCACTGTGAATTAAATCACGCATAAGTCAGCATGCCTGGTTCACCTCGATGTGGGGCACGCGGTGTACATTGTTGGAAACGATAGTCGAACCGCCGTATCTGGGCAGCAGCCTCTCCCGTAGCACCAAATTCGACGATAAAGTCGCCCGCCGGATTTCCAAGGCAAGTCAAGCCTTCGATTGTCTTCAAAACACAGTTCGCAATCGTCACAGTGTTTCAGTCAGCACGAAACTACAGATGTACAAGGCCGTCATCCTATCGACGTTGCTTTATGGAGCAGAGACCTGGACGGTGTATATTAAGCAGGCACGCGGACTCAACCACTTTCAACCGCAGTTGTCTTCGTAGAATACTGAAGCTGAGGTGGCAGGACCAGATCCAAGACACGGACGTACTTGAGCGGACGGGAATCCTCTGCATCTGCGCTATGCTGAAACACTTACAACTATGCTGAAGCGGCCACCTAGTACGGATGGACGATGAGAGGCTACCCCAACGACTATTCTATGGAGATGTCGCGATGGGTTCACGCCGACAAGGAGGCCAAGTCCGGAGCTACAAGGATACTCTGGAAACCTTCCTGAAGTGCCTGCAGATCAACCCGGTAAAACTGGACCGACTTACGTGGGGGAGAACAGTCATGAAGGACGCAGCATTCTGTGAAGCCAACTGCATCACCGTCGCTAAAGCAAAACTCGAGACACAAAAAATTCCAATTGTCGCCACAGCCCCCTCACAACACCAACGCCCAAGCGTGTCATCGACGTCAACGGACATTTCGGTCTCCAAATAGACTCGTTGGACACCTTTCGACCAACTGCAGCACCCGGACTGCACCGACCGTCGTCTCTTCGTGCGCCTCAATTAACGCTGATCGTCCTCCTGAACCACCACTGCCATCCTCCCCCTCCCCCCTTTCAATGTATGCCGCTGTGGCGTCGGTCACTCGCGGATCCATCGCACAGAGACTGATGAGCCAGTACCCGGGTGTACCAACCTACACTCGTGCATCTGCCTCCACTGCTCACGTTGCACTCGCACATTAATTCACCGTATGGGTCTATTAGCTCACAAGCACGTCCACGAAAACCTGCTGTAGACAACTGTCGACTACTCCACACCACCACACCCTACTTCAACAGAATCTCACAGCACATAAATATTTCCCACCACAAGCACCCAACTATCGTTCTTCCTCCGTGCGGCTCCCCTGTTGCATGTGCGGTCGGAGTCCGAGACGAAGACGGTGCGTCGAGTGCCGTGAGTCGAAAGGCAGCCAACTGACGTCCCAACTCAGTTCATGCAGTCTGCCCAGTTGTGTGTGTTTTCTGGAGTGGCAGACTGGGGAGTTGAGAGCCGAGCTGTCACGGCCCCTTCTCAGGCGATCTGTGACACTCTCTTGCATGTGAGGAGAGTGTTTGTGTTTGTGTGCGCTTTATGGGCAATGCCTCTCAGTCTACGACTGTTTGGTAACCAAATCAGGACCAGGTGTCGCCCTCCTATGTCAAAAGGTCTGAAAGCTGTGCCAGTATCAGCAAACCATAACCCTCGCAACCTGGTATGCGCTGGCAGTTCCCTGACACATGGTTCGCTGCCGGTAGATGCGCTTGCGCTTCCGCTGGGTGCACAGGTGGTGAACGTGGCTCCCCAGCCATCGTCCTCGCCCTTCTGACTCCTGTTCGGATGTTGTTGCTGCTGATTTTGGTGGAAAATCCTGGTTTAGTGTATGTTTTGAACCAGGGGGTGTGGTGGTACGCCTAGGTGAGGGTCCGGCCGGACCAGCACCCTGCGCCCTCCCGCGCCTCCGGTCTCCGTGACGCTCTCCTGGCACCGGGTCCGGATGGGAAGTGGGGAGGTGAGAGTGCGGTAGATGCTGTTCAAGTTTACATTCACTAGAAACGAAGTCCTGCGCAAGTCACTGTGCCTGATTCCTCTTGCTTTGAAGCACACGGTGGACATCGTCGGGAGCAGCGGTCGAGCTGTCGTGTGTGTATATGTGTTTTTGTGTGCTCTGGTGATTTTTTACGAATCTGTTTGTATCCGCAACTTATAATTCCGCCATTACATGTGTGAATTTGTATCGGCACATTTCTGTTGAGTACCGCTCTTATGTATTCGTTGTGGAGTCGATTTCTTGTTAAGGCGTGGGTCAACTAAACAATGTTGTTATGCATCATTGAACGGTATGTCTTAATTTGTTCACCTACTTTTCTTTACTAATTTCAGTTTTTCTTAGCTTCTAGCTTTCGTAAACGGTTCATTTTGGAGGAACATGACCTGGTGTCCGAACTTAACAAATCTTATCTTTAACGGCACACAGTCACGAAAGCACACACAAAAGTCTGTCTCCGCGACTGTGCTCCAGTACCAGTGCTCGACTTCATTTGAGGGCATTAACTAATCTCAAGTGCTCCTTCGCTCCTATCCATCATGAAGATTATCTCAGGTCCCTGCCGTGAATGTCCCGCACCGTCTATTTTCATTCAGTAAACGGGCGGTGCCTATTACCATTATTTGACTATGAGAAGTCTTGGTTTTCTCCTCCTGTCCATTGGACAAGCTTGATTATTTTGATTCAGTAATATCGACTTGTAGTTGAGGATCAAAAAGTCTTTCCATAGCTATTAAGGAACTTTCTGACCCCATCAAGCAGTCTTAGCGTGCTTCGCTCGCCAATGCTTCTATCCCTGAATTTTGTGAGCATCGGGCCAGAAGTCCGTCCTGATGCAGGACGGCTTAAGGCATGCTGAAGGTTGCATGTACCAACGTGCAAAGTGCATCCGCTTTTTTTAGTGCCATTTGCCGATGGAGGGGCATCGTAGGGACTTTTACCAGTTCTTATTGACCCATCTGTGAAAAACCCGGCGCCTCGGCGGGATTCGAACCCATGCAGAACGACGAAGGCTTTAGTACAACCAACGCTCTAACTATATGAGCTACGAGGTCCCACCGGACGACGCGAACATAATCACATTTGGGTCAAATTACCCGCCCAATCTACTGCAGCGTCTGGCATCCACTAAATTTAATACAGCAAGTTGACTAACCAAACAGGATTTCCTAAGTAGTTCACCTAGAATCCACCAGATAACTACCAGGCTCACGTAATTCCTAGATGTTTTGGCAAAACCTCTATGTTTTACCATTTCATCCGGCGTTGACTAGGTTCAGGTCGATCAAAAAAGTGGTTGGGACATTACCAATTATCACACCCTAACGACATGCACAGACTCTGTCCTCCAGCTTCTGATAGATGGACTCGTCGAATTCGTTTATCTCAATGGACAGTGTTCATTTACTCTCCCCTTGACACACTGTTACTTAACTTTCGGCTACAATCAAAGAAACAGTGCGGAAGACACTGAAAACGTATTTGGACACCAGTATGGTTTAGAACTGTTGTGCATTGCATGAAACTGACTGAGGCTACATGCCACGTCAAGCGCTGTGCACAGTCCGCTTAAAAGTTCGATCGACTCAATATTATTATTATTATTATTATTATTATTATTATTATTATTGGTACGCGATAGGGAGAGCAAGAGTGAGAACGAGAACGATCACGTCTTCTTGAGTGACCAAAATGCATCAGAATTTGAGGTTTAAAGTTGCCGCGATGGCGGTGTGAATTGGCCCCTCAGGCAGAAGATCAGCCTTAAATTACCCCGTTTACATGTGGCCAATAACTTAACCTTTGTGGTTCTCTAACGCTTGGGGTGTCACTATGTGCAATGGATGACGTACCCCATTAAATGTCCGTAAATCAACGAAACATTCATATTCAATCAGAAAGCGATCCAAAGGTATCGATCCAAACTCCCAAAAAATAATGAATTACCGCAATTAAATGAAGACACAGGGTGTTGAAAGTAACATCACTTCGGTCAGAAACAAAAACTTTGAGAAAAGCTTACATTTTGAAAGCATAAAACTCGCGTCCAATGACTAGGCTCAGTTTTTATGAGTATCCAAAGCCCTTCCGTGAAAATAACTGGAGGATAGAAGCAGCGCAAACACGACACTGTTTAGAGTCTTTTTAAAATGCCGTTTGCATTTAGATATTCTCCAAGAATTGGTGTGTTAAAAAGTGTGGTTCACAGTATCGTGCCTAATGTTGTATCATGCACTCCAGGATAGTGTTAAGAGAATTCGTCATAATAATCCCATGTTTCTCATGGTTCCAGCAGCGGCTGATTAAGGCAGTGGTGAGTTTCTACACTATGCACGATAAAACGAAAAAGAAGTGGTAGATTCCATAAAGTCAAATCTCAAGAGGTTGGTCATAGCCGATAACAGCGAAAATGCGACTTCCAGGAAATAGTTGATAAGAAGTAGAAGCGATCCCTTAAACAAGAGCTTTATTCGCCCGATATTTTGGATACTCGCTCGAACCCATCAACAGAGACAGTGACAGAAACGAGTGATTCGTGCATAGGAAGTTGCAGTATTTGTGAGATGCTGTCGCTACGCTACTGAATACTAATGATAATTAATTGCTCTCTCCTTCATCGAGGACTGTTGTCCGCTGGTGCGATAATTGCTTGATAGTCGGCATGCAAGTTGTTAGTAGCTGAAATCTCATCACTCGTCTTGGCTACTGGCGTGATGGTTGCTCGGCCATCTGGCTCATCGGCCTGCTTGCTCCCCGGGTGATTAATAGCTCGGGCCAGACTATGCCTCAGCACCGAATGTGGAGTGGAGATAGACTGGGGTCCCCTTAACCATAACTCAAGTAACTCGCAGCTCTCGCGATCATCACCTCCCTCGAGAATTTCGGCATGATCGAACTTGAATGTGCGGCCGGGTCTCATCGGATGGGCCGCGACCTGGGAGCTGGCGTTATTTCTCCGCACCGCTGCCGCGTGTTCGGCGATTCGAGTCCAGTGCAGTCTTCCAGTTTCACCGACGTAGTTACTTTTCCCGCAACTGCACCAGATCCGGTAAAAGACTCCAGATGTTTCTGGCCGTGGCAGTGGATCTTTTGCTCTCATCACTTGACACCTTATGGTGGCCGCCGGTCTGTGTGCAACTCCAACCCCAAGTGGTGTGGGAAGGCGACTAAAGGCGCCGAAGACATTCCTGATGCACAGAATCGTTCGCCAGAGTTTGGGGTCGGCACGATTTTGGCCATAGAATCGGGCCAAGGTCGCCTCTTGGGCTCTCGCCATGCGTTGGTCGATCGGTGTTATTGAACTCGAGTTCTCTAGTGCCAACAGCGTCGTATTAATTTTGCGTGTCAGCCTTTCTCCGGGGTTGGTTTCACATGGGGCATAAAAATGGCGATCCTCCAGCAGGTCTTTGGTCTTCTGAAGGCAGTCTGTTCCATCCAATACGACAGTAGAACGCCCTTTGTCGGCGGGCGCGATGACGGTGTCGTTGTCGGCCTTGAGTTCTATTAGTGCATCTCGCTCGACCTTTGGGAGTATTTCGCGCGGCATGCGAAATATGAGGAGCGACAGCATTTAGTGTCGGATAAGATTCTTTGTCTCCTCTGTCGCTTCGGTCTGATTGCTGAACGATTCAACTGCTGCAATCATGCTGGCAGGTTTTGCATCAGCTGCATTGAATGAGGCTTCGTGCCTTAAAACCTGTACTTGCTCCATCGTCGGTCTATTTGACGACAGGTTGTGTACCAGTGTGCCGTCTATGGATGACGTTGGATCCGGCAATTTGTGGAATTTGATCCCCAGTGCTGGGTTGCGTATCACTCTCTCTTAATCAAAACCCTTCGCCGAAGCAGTTTTCTGCCGTTCTCACCCACACGGGATATTTCCATACTTCAGGAAATCATGAGTGAAGAGGGACAGATGGCTGTCTATAAGCCTACATTCTGCTGCCTTTGGTACAAGACACGGAGATACAAAAACTCTACTTTTTAAATAAAAGAAAAGTCAAGGAATAATGTGCATATTCCACCCCGCATCACACAATTTGCGCAAATCAAAAAATAATTTTCAATTGGGAGATAATTGTTTTAGTAAAGCCTTCCCCTTAAGATTAATGCCATCTTACATAAAAACACCGATGCGCAAATATGCTATTGAACCTTTATTAACATGGAAATTCCTTGATTAAAAGGGTTTGTTGATTTCCGTCCTGATCTGCGCATCTTTTCCACGAGAACGCCACTTATAAAGGTTAGCTGCATGAGAAAAGGGCTTTTTGCAGAGAAGATTGAACAAATAAGCAAAATGCTCAGAGCTTGCGTTGTCCCGCACTTATTAACTATGTTTTCATCACTATGTTTTATGATTTCCGTCGCCTACCGTAAATGACATTCTGCAGGAAAAACAAATGCTTGGTCGATTGCTGCGGCAGTGTCCACCCTAAGGCATCTTGACTTAACTTTTTCGTCGGATCACGGCGAGTGCGGGAAGAGGAATTGACGTTACTGCAGTTAAAGTCTTCTTTACTTCAACACGAACCTGCGCTAAAGTCACCGCTGCCCCTCCGAGTAGGGGTACGCTTCGATGAGCACGAGAGGCGAACCGTTAGATACATGCAGATTTCTCGTTATGGTTATCCGTGGTAATGGGTTCACAAGTTAAGAAATCAGTGTAGCATCTCCAAAGCAGGCCAGGGCCTTGATAATCCGCGCAAACACGACTTCAAGCAGTCTACTAATTCAGATTCTATGAACTCTCCCGCAGTCTTCTTCTAGCTGTCTATAAAGCGTAACGTGTGCCCATAAGACACCCGAGTTTTCCCGAGCAGTTCAGTTTACAGTAATGCGCACGCACCAACGGGCGAAATCGAGTTTCGGACCTGGAGTCCAGCGACAGGGCACCGATCACAGACGTAGGCTCCGTGGTCCTTAAAATCCAATTCTGATGGAAAGGACGTGTCAGATCTATGGCTGTTTCCATATGTCAGCCTTTTAGAGACTACCGGAAAGCAATAATAACATTAATATACAGGCATCACGGAAGAGAACGGCCAGGGGAGTCTTGGCATGCTGGATCAACATGTTTTGGGGGACGGTATGGCGGGAAGGGAAGGAGCTTGCCAATAAGAAAAGAGAAGCTATAGAGATATAAACGATGCACAAACAATGACCGTCTGATCTAACTTCTCTGTCCATGATAACAAAGGGAAGACAATTCCTTGTCTTCGCGGACTTTCTCATCATTTCCTAAAGAGTTTGTCCATCCTGGCGTCCAAGGACAAGTTTAGGACGCGCAGCTCAAATTCAAAGATAAGTGAAGCTTTGCCTACACTTTGATATTCTTACGCAATTAATGCCAGTTCTTTACTTGAGTCCTGTTTAAAAGTTGCCTTTCAGTACTGGGTATAATTTTTTTTCAGTTATGTTAGACAGTCTCCAAAGTAGCCGTATTTTGTGACGTGCTTTTTAAGGATTCTGTGTGAGACTATCTCTTTCTAGTTTTTGTAGTAAAATAACAGTGGTATTTGCAATTCAGTGCGTTTTTCTGTACGTCATTAACGTTTTGTTCCTTGTACTGCAACAGAAAACTTATCAAGTCTGTAATGCCCGCAGAGCTCGTGCTAAAAGACGGAAGCTTGCGGCCTCCCCACCGTATCTGGGTGCTAATAGTCGTCACCGGAGATACAGCAGGTGCCAGCATATGTTTGTCGCCTTCTATAGATATGGTTAACTCCGAAATTTCCTTTGTCCAAAGAGAACCTCTTGACCCCTTAATCGTCCAAAACTACGCCTATGCTAGTCGCAACAGAAAAACAGCCGACGAAATACTCGATCAGTTGATATATAGCGACATAAGCAGCGCTTCTGAAAAGGTCATTGGACAGGCGTTTAAAGTTATTGGAGTAATAAGTTCGGAAACTGAGAAGAGAATAAAACGCAAAAATAATTTTTTTACTGCAAAACATCCCGAGTCACTTATCTGCTATAGAGGGAGCGCATTTGTTTCTGCACAGTTGTGGCTTGGGTTTCAGTGTCACACAGCTAAACGACTGCGCTCGCTCAGTCGTAATGGGCCAATACTAGTTACCCTTTTCTCCTTGATAGAAGTCCATTTTATCTTATCGACGAGGGAGATAACCGGAGAATTCTGACGTAAATGGCACTGCTCCGTTTCGCTAGACCTCACAACATTGCAGCGAAGACTGAACAAAGCGAAATTGTCAAAAACGAACACCGAGATGGTGACACCTATTGTCAGTTTGAATAAGTCTTCTACAACACCATCTGCGGCCTCTGCACGTCACAGTCAATTCCGTAGGTAATTCGACTACTCTTGATATCGAAATCCTTAAACACACCAACACGCCTGATATAAAAACGCCTATATCGACTCCCCCAGCAGGCCCTATTAAGCCTAAGCATGCGCCTAAGTCAAAGGCATATCTAATTGCTGTCTCAGCCACTCGGACACTCGATAAATGCAGCACCATTATAAAATTTTTTCCTCCACAATCGGCTAACAGTGTCTCAAACACCACGACTCAAAACGTAGCGTGTTTCCAGTTGCCCCAGCCCTCATATCGAGACGGTTAGGCCGAATATGCCGACATTCCCGCCTTTTAATAGAACTCTCGCTCAAATGGAAGCAGTGCGTCTCCCACCCCATAACATGTTTCCTCCAATGCATTCCTCATGCTAATGTCCATACTGGATCAGTTAGCTCATCCGATCCTCAGGTTTGTTCCGCCGGGAATACGCTACATCACCCGGCCCGCAGATTTCCAGCTAAAAATAAGTTAGTTTACGATGGTTACCAGTTTACCTGCCCGTCATTTCCTCCCCCAAGTCCAACCCCTTTTTATCCACGTCAGAATCTTTTGATACCACAAAATTTTTTGCTGAACCGGATGGGTACATCCGCACCGTGTGCTTCGTAGGCAGACAAACACTGGACGACGTAGGCCACCTCTCTCAGAAACAAACAGCCTTTCCCTTCAAACTTTTTGTTCTAAGCGCCATATAATTGCTAAATAGGATGCCTTTACTTCAGACCCTGGTGTTCATCCATCGTCCAGATATTGTTTTAATAACTGAGACATGGGGATCAGCTTCCGTAGCTGATTCCGAACTCTCTCTTCCAGACAATACTTGCATCCGAAATGGTCGTCAAGACAGCCGTGGTGGGAGTAGTTGCGTCTACGTTAAGCAAACACTTACATTTCTGCCGCTGGACCTCCCGCATTTTTCCGCAGTAGAAGGCAGCTGCTGGCTCCAGGTTGCCCTAAAAAATAAGTTCTCCTTACTCGTTGGCTGCGTCTATCGTCCTCACAACGTCAACGACAATTTTGATCGTTTACTTGCACAGGCATTTCATGTTGCGGCCGATTTAAGCTTTAAGTATCAATTGGTTGCGGGTGACTTTAATCGCCCTGAAGTCCGCTGGTCTCCGCCTTCAGGTACCAGAAGGTTCGAAGACTTTCTTGAGGCCGTGGATGTTGGGATGTGGACTCAGATTGTCGATTTTTCCATCCGAGGATCAAACATACTTGACCTAATTTTCTGTAGAGGCTGCATGCCATCGTCAATGTCATTCCTAGGCCCACTCGGGGGCTCAGACCATGACATAGTTGTTTCAACGTTGGCATTTGAGGCTGACAAAACTTTGTCCCCAAAGTATAACTTTTTCCGCGAGTTCCGATCAACTCACTCAACCGAATGATTGACACACCATAATTCCCACGACTGGACTGATTTCTTCCTTAGTTCGGAGGTACAAACCGTACAAACCAACTACGCGGCCATGCATACAAATTCAGGAATGAGCGCACGCGTTTAGACCGACGAAAATTTTCATTCAGCCAGCGAGTTATCAGGCCGTGGAACTCGATTCCAAGCGAGATGGTGACGGCTGAGACAGTTCGTGTGTTTAAAAGAAAACTTGCTCGTCTAGTTTTCGACAGAAATCGACTTGTACAGCATGACTATGCACAGCCAGCTTTGTAAAATCTGCCATATACAATCTCCCGCACAAATTTACAGTGACCCTATACCCTACTTTATGATTACGATTGAACTGTGACCCAATCACATTTTAAATGCCTGCAATTTTATTTTATGTTTGAGTATGAATCTGCGAAAGCACTGTACATAAAAAGGGTCATCAAGAGCTCTGCCTGTAACCCTTCAATATATGCATATACATATAAATGTTTGCACTGCTAAACTGTACGAAATTTTGTATCCGCTTATTTCTCGTTGTGTCACCGGTAAGAAAATTATTCATGTTGGGATGAGGTTTTCCTACCGTTACCCTTTCGTTGCAGATTGCTCAGACTTTATCGTCGATTGCATCTTCAGAACGACGTTTCTGTCCTGCCCTTGATTTGTGATATTTTTGAGCGTGCTAAAAGACTGTCTGAAGAAAAACGGCTAGCCGAGAATGTCCAATTCACTGAAAACCGTTCGTAAAACGTCTCCAAACTTTTCTCCCGAAAAGTATGAACTCAAAGGAAGACGCAGCATCCCACCCTCCGAGACGCTCTCGGAAATCCTATAGTTGTTACCTAGTCAGCCGCC